CCCATATTACAAAATAGAATTAACAACGCAAAACATTACTCAACTTGCAAATTACCAATTGGAAGATAAGCTGTGAAACCGAGAAAAATGCTAAACAGTAAGAACAATTGTCAACTAAAGTAAATTAGCTGACATTAGTTTCATCTGATTGGAAAAGAAGATTAAAGCATTTCTGAAAGTAGAAATAACAGGCTACATATTTTAAAACTTAGCAAAAATGTAACCTGTACACACCATTTCAAAACAAATCGCCTATTTAAAACCCAAACCTTGGGCCGGTTTCTAGTGCAGGCAGAGAAATCCCACTTCTCGTCACTCCTTGGCCCCACCTGGTCATCAGTATTGTTCTGCCACGTGCAAAGCGCACACCTACTTTGTATCACAATTTTCAGTACAAAGATGAAACTTTTTACAGCCAAGGACTGTCTTCACTCACCACCACCCCATCCAGTCACGGTGCCTTGTCATACAGCGTGACAGTAAACACTTAAGTCTGACTTCTGCACCATTCTAAGGAATAGATGTGAAATGCTGTGCCTACCATAACTTGGGCACTGACATTCTCAGGTGGCTTTAAATGTCCTGAAAATTTATACTGAGAAGTCCACCAATTAAAAGTTATTTCCATTTTTGATGCCCATTCCTAAATAATCTGATAGGACCCCATTTCATGAGTCTACAAAGAACCCCGCTGAAATAGAAGTTGTTCTCTAAGACATCAAATGCCAGACTACAAAAATCTTCACATTTATTTTTAAAGCAAATTCTTTAGGCATACAGCCAAGCCAGTCAGTAACAAATTCCACTACGTTTTCATTCTTGCTCATGCTTCTATAGAACACAGCGAACACTTAAATCATGGCTTAAATCACAGGACTGTGGCACCCAGCATGAAGGACAGCGCCCCACTGGCAGGCATGCCCAGGTGCCATGACTATCTCGTGGATTCACTGATACATTCTGGGTACTGCTGCCACTGTCACCCATGAGGTCTTTCAAAACATCATCCTCAGCTTGCTCTTCAAGGTCAAGAGAACCAAGATTTCTATGAAGGCTTCTCAAGCCTGCGTTAAGTGATGTCTTCCCCTAGTATTTAAGATTTTACAGTCAAATACCAAATTGTTACCAGTATGTCAGAAGTCATTAATAAGTCCTTCATGGGGGGCAAAAAACAAGTTTCCACTTAATTCCATGTATGTCCTACTAAATTAAACACAAAATCCCTCATTTACTTTGATTTTTAAAAGTTCAAGAATTCTAAGTCCCTTTGTAAACTATAAATGGGGAGCAGAGAGGTGGGGAGACTACCTACCGGGGAGGGTGTGGGCATGGCCCGCTGGGAAAGGCTGTCCTCAGGCTCCCACGCCCGTGGGTGTCAGCCACCACAGGAGGTGGGCGCCTCACGCACAGACCGCTCACTCTCTCCCAGTGAGCCCACTACTCCCAGGGTGACTCCACCCTAAAAGCCTATTAGCTGTTATTAACTGGCTCTCCTGGCCCCAGCTTCACCTCAACATGCCAAGCACAAAGCTCTCTAGAATAAAGACCTAGACTCATAAAGCTTTCAACTTGCTTTACAACACTCTTCCCAATTCCCACTGAAGAAGCAAACAATGGATCCAAGACATGATAGCTTCCCAATAGAAAGATGAATTTATTTTCATGAAGTAAGTACAGTGCGCAGTCACACAACCTACACCGTAGGAGATAGAAACGTCCTGAAAGCTCGAATTTCACCACTCACCACGCACTGGGCGCTTCAATCCCAGCTCTAGGCAGTCACTTGTAGCCTGGACCCCTAAACAGGGAGGGGAAGTAAAATTCCTTGGTTGAATGTTGAGTACTGCTCAGTACAGTTTGAAGAGTTGTGTGTCAGTGCATGGATCTGGTTGTTACACGTCTGAAAAGTCTATCAAAGAAATCTGCACCATCTGGTTACTTTCCGTTACTTCATAGTCTCTTCTACTTCATAGTCTCTTCGACACAATTCCCCAATTGTATGAAGGCTAAATCTGTTACCTACTGACAACTGCTAACGTCTTTAGAAAGATGTGAGCTACTAAAAATAACTGTTACTTTAGGATCCAAAATTGAGGTTTTCAGTTTCTAAAGATCTCTGTGAAGTCGGACAGGATGGGCACGCGGCCTTTATTCATTTGCTGGACCAGCAGTAAGGAGCAGGGACCTCTGCTCGGTGCGCGACACTGCACTGGGCACCGGGAGATGCAGAAGTTGACAGGACCCGGTCTACAGTGGCTTTGGAGAGAGCGGTCACCACCGGGAATGACAAATGGAGACAGCTAGACAGGCAAAGACAAGAAGTGAGGGGCATGTTCCCCAGAGGAAGCCCAGCCCTCCAGCCCAGATCCTAAAACCAGCAGTCTGTGAAGGAGAACCAGCTGCCCTAAAGAAGTCTGCGAGTTGGGGGGTGAGGGGGAGGCGGACAACCCCTCCAGCCCCCCCGCCCAGGGTCCCTCACCAGGGGTGCTGTAATTATGGGCAGTCCCATCTCAAACTCCCGGAAAGGCTGTTTCTTCATCTCCCTCAGGGGCCAAGGAGATGGCCTGACCCTCTGCGGGGGCCAGCATGGACAGTGCTATATCTGCATGGCCTTACGCTCAGGGGCTTCTCACTCAGCCGATTCTAGGGGCTCAGCATCTGGTCTTCCTCACCAGGACAAACCCCTCCAGCCGCGCCTCGTCCTTGAAGGGCAGGGCCTGCGAATGCTGAAGTCCCTTTAAAACACTGTGGATGTTTTAAAAGGCTTAAAACCCCAGGTCTAGGTGTAGCTTCCTCCTCCACTAGCTCCCCCTGGGCTTCCTTTCAGCTTTTAAAAGACCTAATTTCCTCTCACTTCACAAGAAGGTTTAAATTGAATGTATTTGTCCAAATCAGACCTTCTAAGTGATCCAAATAATTATTGGAAGATTTTTTTTAAGTGAGGTAGGGCTAGCTTACAATACTCTGTGGAGGTTGTAAAACTTCATGTGCTCCAGTCAAAATGGAAAAATCTGTCAAAAATAGACTGGTTTTCTGACTAAGGAAAATCATTTGCTCTATTTTTAAAAGCAGAATAAAAAGATGAAGATAACCCCTTACAGTGAGAATAACAATAAATAAACTCATTCAAGGAAAAGGGTTACAATAGCTAGAAAAGAGGGAAAATGCCCCCCATGTCATGTAAATGCATCTTAAACTGTACCGGGAGAAAATAAAATCTTACAAAAAGGTCAAAATGATCATGCACAGTATCCACTTGGAGGCAAATCTACATGTTGAAGGTTTGTCTGGTTTAAAATCTTTTTTTCTGGTGCAGTTTCGAAAAGTTCTTCCAGTTTTGCCCATCCATGAAAGGATGCTCCTCTGCTCTGCCGGGCAAGAGACCTAGTTTCACCACACCAAAGGTGACCAGCAGGCCCACGCCTGCGGCCTCTAGCCTCAGAAATAATACACTGTCCCCCGGCTAGCGAGCAAGGGTCGAAACTATTCATTGCTGGTCAATTTCGTTTTTTAGCACTTTTAATTTTTCTATCTAAATAATGTAAAATTCTAAACTTAGGTCCAAAGAAAAAGCTGATCCTTCCGTCCTAATATCAATGTCAAGACAGCAGCTTCCTGTTTGACAGTCACTCTTATTTAAAGTCCAACTGCATTCTGCAGCTACCTTTCCAGAGCTTTGGCGTTCACAGGGTCCTTATATTACAAACTACAAGTGGGCACAGTGATATCTCCTAGTTAAAGAGATGCAGACAGAAGTTAAATAACTCAGCCAAGGCCACCCAAAGAAGCCCCAGGAGGGCTAAAACTTCAGCTGGGAGATCACCACCTCCTTTACGCCTTCCGGTTTCCAAGAAAGAAAAAGCAAAACCAAGCGATTTACTTTCTGTAACGTACAGCCACACACACAGCAGCAAACTCATCGCAGCCCAGCCAGAGTCCTTTCTGTTCGGCTAGCAAGACCACCTGCTCCACAGGTACAGCACCGGCAGAAATGGCCAGGTGTGGAGGTCGGAATCCCTGTAAGTGTCCACTCTTGAATAGGGACGATTTACTTTCTCGCTATCCGAACTGGGAGAAACTAGCCTGTTAGTTTTCCCACGCCCGGGAGCGGTGGGTACCGAATTTCCTCCCTCTTGCCAGAGTCCAAAGACCACCATCTCAAAAGCAAGCAGCTCTCAATGAGAACACCGCTATGCAGCCCAGAAAGAACAGCTCGGTGAGTTGCTTTTAAGGGATATTTTGAAAGGATGATTACACGCTTCACAGATTTACTTGTCGGGTCTCCGCCGAGAAAGAATGGTTCTTGTAAAGTAGCTCTTAAGGCATATGCCTCCTAGCTCCGGGCAGTCTGACCTGCTGGACGGGATTCACCAGGGCTCGCGGACACCGAGCCCCTCTGAAGAGCTCGCTGGAAGCATCGCTTCGACCTCCCGTCGGTAGCCTCAGCCCGCCCACACCACAGGGACCGAGATGACCCCCTTTTACAATCTCGGGAGGAGCTTCCGAGGGCGGGGACAGTGGCAGCCGTCCTCCCTGGGATGTTCATGGACACAGAAAGTGTTGACACCGGCACTGGCTCCTCGGAAGTGGCAGCGCGGCGGCAGGCGGAGCAGCCCCGCGAGCCGAGCAGGTCCTTCCCGACCTGTTCCCCAGCGCTGCGCGGCCCAGCCGGGGTGCCGCCTTCCAGCCCTTCCCCAGCCACCCCGCGCCCTGGCCCCTCAGCAGAGCGGGGTTTCCCCACCCTCCCCGGCCGGGCGACCCGGACG